TTTTTTTTTTTTAATGTATTGGAGATGGTGATGTCAGTGGTTGAAGGAGCGCTTTGCCGTGCTCTGGTATTAATGATCTGGTAGGAACCAGATGAGAAGGACTGAGAGTCGTTTGACGGTGTAGTTTATTAGCATTAAATCATTCCTTGCTGAAAGGGCTGTTTCTCATTCAGCTGCCCCTGAAATGTAGAGAGTTGCTGTAAAAGGTGTACTGAGATGGTCCATTAATTTCCATTGTCCACTAAAGAGACATTTCATCCGTGTGCAGGAACTGCTGGAAATGAGCATCATCAGGAGAGAAACAGCGTGTGTAAAACCCTCCCCAAAAACCTAAGATGGGGGATAACCCTTCTTTCCTCTGCCGGCGAATTTCTAAAAATTGAGGATTTCTTGAGTGAAGTAATCCTTTAGGTGGATTTTTATGAACCAGAGGTAGTGATCCATCATATACATAGAGAGTAATAGTATTTGTAAGGAATGCCTTCAGTGGACACAGGGAAGTTGCTTCTGTGGCATTGAAATGGGCATGAACATTTTCTGTGTACTGGTTGTTACTTGTCTGCCTTGGGTGTTGAGGAGGATGGAAACCCCTTTTTACCACACATGAGTGTGCTCATGGATAAATGATGTGATTGCCACATGGTAATCTCATCAGATAAAGGCTAAAGATATGGAAAAATATTTTGGAGGTCACTTTTAACTGTTAGTAGGTATGACCTCTTGACAAATAACCTTCCTTGGCATTGCCTGTCTTCATGTTCATTCAGGTGAGAGGATGGTGCTCCGTGGGTTTTGAAAGCATAAAACCAAAACCTTTGTCTGATGATAGAAATGTCCAAGTGTTGTTTAAAAACTCACTTGCAGGTGAGCTTAATACATCACTGATTTCTGGTGCTTTTATTGGCAGTGTTCAGTGGTTGCATTGACTCAGGTTTGTGTGGAGTTGTTCCGTGATGAAAAAAGGTCCAGCAGCACATCTGAGTTCTGAAGAGACCTTCTGACCTGTTTGTTCTGCTCCTGTGTGTTGGTTTGTTGTCTTGTTGGGTAATAAATGTGCTAAGTACCTGTCCCCAAAATAGTGTTTGTGTTGTACTGACAGTATTGCTGTTGTTAGTGACTGTAATTTCATCGAGTCACAGAATGGTTTGGGTTGGCAGAGGCCTTAAA